GACTGCGGACCACGTGTCAGGGGCGGAAAAATGGCTGCGGACCACATGTCAGGGGCGGAAAAATGGCTGCGGACCACATGTCAGGGGCAGAAAAATGGCCGCGGAGCACGTGTCAGGGGTGGAAAAATGGCTGCGGACCACGTGTCGGGCAGAAAAATGGCCGCGGAGCACGTGTCATGGGAGGGAAAATGGCCGTGGATCCGGTTTGTAACCCGAGGAGGAGTGCGCAAACCGAGGTAAATTTTTGCGGCCAGAGCTGGTCATAACCCGAAAAGTTCGTTAACAGAGGCGTTTGTAACCCGAGGTACCACTGTACTTGTAAGCTACTTTGTCATCCACTGCTATATTCCAAAATAGACTTTTACTGTCATGAATTCCACATATCCAAATTATTAGAATTAATTTGTCTGTAACTGCCTAAAGTTGGTGGCAGGCAAGTATTCAGCCTAATGCAACATTTAAGAACATCAAAGAGCAACAGAAATCTTAGGAAAAAAACAGTCTCTTCTTTCCTTGCTTTAGCTAGGAAAAGTCCAAGTGAGTCACACGATTGAAGTATGAGTATATTTATTGGGTGACATTTTCTGACCTCTATTTCCTTCACATTTTTAGAAGCAAGGAATGAATGAAATCAAATTACTTAAATATCAACAAAATATGTTTTGGATTTAGCCCCCATATCCAAATCACTGAATCTTTATGCCTAGATGAATTTATGGAAAAATACTGTTTGTGGACAATCCAAGGCTACTCTCTTGGACAGAGAACTCTGATGACCCCTCCTCTAATATTACGACAGTTGCTGTACTTTGAATGGGGCACGTAGATCCAAATCCTTACTTGTTGATGAAGTTCAGTAGATGACCTTGTGCCAGTTATTTTTTCTCAGCCTAGCCTACCTCACAGAGTGAACATTTTTGTTTAAAAAGGAGAGGAAGAAGAACCATGTGATAGAAATTTAATAAATAAAATAACTGTGCAATATTCTAAGCTGTACTTTTTAAAAATGATACGTTCACATGTGTGAGTTCAATGCCAAGATAAGTTCTGATTATGTGGCTAAGCCTTAGTGAGCTAGTCTAAAATGTGTTATCTGTCTAGGATTGAGAACTGAGAAAGAGAGAGAAAAAGGGAAACATCCTTTTTCCAGACTTGATGAAAATGGTTTCTGGTTGAGACAGTGCTTTCATTTTAAACGGCGCCTTAATTTAGGTTTTTTCTATTTACTCCATACCCATTCTTAAAAATCTACCAAAGAGCTAAAACACAGACATGTCACACAGAATGTACAACTGTGACTTGAAAATGGGGGGGGGGGGGG